CTGATGCATTGTCTCGTCGTTATACTATGTTTTCACAACTTGACTTTAAAATATTTGGTTTGGAGACCATCAAAGATCAATATGTGCATGATGCTGAATTTAAAGATGTATTGCAGAATTGTAAGGAAGGGAGAACTTGGAAAATTTTCGTTCTTAATGATGAATTTGTGTTTTGTGCTAACAAGCTATGCATTCTAGCTAGCTCCGTTCGTCTTTGTTGTTGCAGGAGGCGCATGGAGTAGAATTAATGGGACACTTTGGCGTTAAGAAGACAGAGGATATACTTACTACACATTTCTTTTGGCCAAAAATGAGACAAGATGTTGATCATTTTGTTGCTCGTTGCACTACATGTCAAAAAGCTAAGTCACGACTCAGTCCTCATGGTTTATATATGCCTTTGTATGTACCTAATGTTCCTTGGGAGGATATATCTGTGGACTTTGTTTTAGGTTTACCTCAAACAAAGAAGGGGAGGGATAGCATATTTGTTGTCATGGATAGATTTTCGAAAATGGCACACTTTATACCATGTCATAAAAGCGATGATGTTGTTAATGTTGTTGATTGTTCTTTCGTGAAATTATTCGCTTGCATGGTGTCCCAAATACTATTGTTTCAGATCGCGATACTAAATTTCTTAGCCACTTTTGGAGATGTTTATGGGCTTTGGGGACTAAACTGTTTTTAGTACTACTTGTCACCCTCAAACTGATGAACAAACTGAAGTAGTCAATAGAACATTGTCTACTATGCTTAGGGCTATTTTGAAGAATAATAAGAAAATTTGGGAAGAATGCTTGCCTCATATTGAATTTGCTTATAATCGTTCATTGCATTCTACTACTAAGATGTGCCCTTTTGAAATTGTGTATGGTTTCCTACCTCATGCACCTATGATTTGTTGCCTCTTCCATCTCCAGAGAAGGTTAATTTTGATGCTAAAGAACGTGTTGAATTGATTTTAAAAATGCATGAGTTCACTAAGGAAAACATTGAGCGTACGAATGCTAAATATAAACTTGCTGGACATAAGGATAGAAAACATGTTGTGTTTGCACCTGGAAATCTTGTTTGGTTACATTTGCGTAAGGATAGATTTCCTAATTTGCACAAATCAAAACTAATGCCACGTGTTGATGGTCCTTTTAAGGTGTTAGAGAAAATAAATGATAATGCATATAAACTTAAGCTGCCTGCAGATTTTGGGTTTAGTCCCACTTTTAACATTGCAGATTTGAAGCCTTATTTGGGTGAGGAAGATGAGCTTCCGTCGTGGACGACTTCATTTCAAGAAGGGGAGGATGATGAGGACATCAATACAATTGTTACACCCACAGCCCCTGCTGCTATACATACTGGATCAATTACTAGAGCTCGAGCACGCCAATTAAATTATCAGGTACTTTCGTTTCTTGGTAATGATTCTAATGTTCATGAGAATATGATGCTGGATAAATTGGATACATTTGTTTTGCTTACAAATGAAGGGCCTGACATGGATAAGAGGGATGAACACTGGAGCAAGACCAAGCATGGAGATGATGGCATGCGCAAGGGGATCGAGAATGGAGTTACAAGTGATGATTTCAGGACTTTGAATCCACCATAAGGAGTGCATGAAGCCTTGGACGAAATATACAAGATGCCACTTCATAAATTTCGTCCAGAGGCTATTCTAGGTGCTGCGTCACCTTATTATTGGACCAGACCCATGTATTGTCGAAATACTTAAGTATAGGCTGTTTTTAGAGTCTGTATGTGTGGGGAAACAAGAGTTAGGGTTGGCTTCGGACCCCTCCTCCAAGGGTCACGAAATTCCCCCCTCTTCCTCCATATATACAGCCCTTGGGGCGTCGTTTAGACTTTGGGTTTTGTTTAGATTAAAGTTCTCCATAGCTGCAACTTCGCGTACTTCGTTTGTGTTCAACGACCAGACAAAGGCGTCACAGAACCCCACCTTGATCAATAAAGCTTTCCTCTTATATTCGCAATATCCAAATTGTAATCTTAGTTTCTTGCTTGTTCTTCGTTTGCCTGCAGGAAACAGACCTTCGTGGTCAGGTTGATCGTGCTCCGGCATGGTCAATAACCTCTCGGAGTTGGTTTAGTGATTGCTAAGGTGCGACGACCTCTCACGTTCGTAGTCGGATCGTCAAAGTCGATTTCCTCCAAAACGATAGCCGCCATCTCATCGAAAGACGGGACACCTTTGCCTCTATCAAAATCCTTTCACCTGCCTTCTTATGATTGTGAGATCTGCCAGCACATCACTGAAGAAACAACCTTGCACTTTTTTGGGACTGTGATTTCGCCCAAGATTGTTGGAACTCCATCTTAGGCCAGCGAAGACGAGGCATCTCAATCTTTGATGAAATAATTCTTCTCTCAGAAGCTTTTCCTCCCAACATTGCTATGGAAATTTTCATCATGGGTTGTTGGAACATCTGGATGCAGCGGAATGGGAAAATCTTCAAAGCTCAGACTCCTTCCATTCAGGCTTGGATAAGGGCACTTAAGGCAGACCTCCTGCTCCTCCAACATCGCATCAAGAATAAATTTGAAGCTCTACTTGTTAATTGGACTGAATAGTTTCTAAATTAGTTTGCCATGTTGCCTTTTGGGTTCCATAAAACTGGAGTTGGTTGACTCCTTGTAAATTTTACTTTTGTACATACTGCACTTTGCTTTAATATAATTATACCATAGAACAATTGTTCTATGCTTTCGGTTCAAAAAAACATCAACGTGAATTTATGTGGGTCTTCTTTCCACCAGTCTTACAACTTGAAAATACTAGTTGCCATTGATGAAATCCTATTAGCAACAAAATTTCGCATCATGAGCCATGGAGCTTGGAATGAGCCTAGACTTGTCAATTATATGTACACATTTGCATAAACTTGTAAACCACAATATTTAATTCCTCAATACAAGGAAGAATACCACAAAACCACATCATGGTGCATCACGTTATGTAGTGCGGCTCCTAATCAGCAGCCACCGTGGTTGATACCAGATCTGCCAGAGGGATCTCATCAATAACACCATGACTCTCTCCTGGGATGTACATCACACAAGAGAACAGAGGCGAGATGTACCTGCAACTCTGCAAGCGGGTGCATGCTGGCATCAATGAAAATTCAAGGCTGCCAGATCGAGAATGGCATGGGGATCTTGGGTAAGGATTTACCATGTCGACGTGGGATGTCGCTCTTAAATCATATAGATCTTCCATCCCATCCTCTCTCCTAGAGCTGCACCTTGAGGGGAAAAGACAGGAGAGGAAGTAGGCGGCGACTGGGCGAAGACGGAGGAGTCCTTTTGCCACGAAGCATAGGGATGATAGAGGATTGCTCCGCGAAGAGATGTGAGTCAAAAGGGAACGACGGAGATGACCAGGAGGAAGCGGCAGCTCTACCCACGGGAACGGGGGTGAGGAGGAGGAGGATGATATTTGTCCCTCAGGTCAAGAGGGGATCGTGGGGCGCGGCTGTGATCCGATTAGGCGGCAGACACAACCCTAATCACGAGATCATGAGCGACTGGTCGTGGCAAGGATGAAGAAACGGAAAGGGTGAATGAGGTTGTCCTTGTCATGCTTATTGTACATTTTCCGGCTGGGTAGAAGCCCAGGCCCAATTTCGCTTCCAAAATTGTCACCGGAGTAGCGGCCCACTACAGATTCTGTTCAGGATAGCTAACGAAGTGACGTGGCACGGGATTAAGTGGAAGTCTAACGGCCAAAATCATCCCAAACTGCTGATCTAAAGGCTGAAAATGCTAATAGACTGAGATGGCTGGAAAGACGTTCAGTTATAATGGATCTAAATTTATTTCCCATGGAATAGTGATTTGACCGGTAGGGCCAAATCTTTCTTTTATGCAGAATCATCCTTCACTGTGAACGGGGGAGTGAAGAGATGCTTCGTCTCTCCACGTTTGTCATCTACTGCTCGCCTCGTCGTATCCCACCGCGAAACAACCGCCCGTCTCCCCGAGCCGCCCGGCATTTATCCAAACACCGCCTTCTTCCTACGCCCTCACCGCACTGCGTGTCGCAGACCGGCGATGTCTTGCCTCGCCGCGTCCTCGGCGACGCCGCCAGCGTCAAGGCCTACGGCCCAGCGTCTGTTTGTTGCGGTGGCCGCTCCTCCCCGTTGGCGGTCCGTTGAGCCTCATCGCGCTGTATGGAGGAGTGAAGGCCCCCGGGCTCTAACGATGCTACGGAGGTGCTCTCCCGCCGGCGACTCCAGGGCGCCCGGAGACGGCAGCCTATCCAGGTTGCCTTTTACATCAGCCTCCACATCAAATCAAAATTCCCCTTATTTGCGGTGTACAAAATTGATGGAATGACAGGGTTGTTAAGTTAGTACTGTACTTGCTGCTTTGTACGACAATTCATGGTTTGTACTTAGATTTCACAACTTCCTGATCTAGTATATACTCCCTCCGTTTCTTTTTAGTCCGCATATAAGGATTGGTCAAAGCAAGCTTTGTAGAGTTTGACTAACTTTATATTATTAAATATAAACATTCACAATATGAAATCAATATCATCAGATGCACCATGAAACGTATTTTCATACTATACAGTTTTAGTATTGTAGATGTTCATATTTTTTTATGTAAATTTGGTCAAAATTTGTGTAGTTTGACTTTGACCAAATTTTATATGCGGAGTAAAAAGAAACGGAGGGAGTACAAGTTTTCAATGTTTATCTTTGACTCGTGAGTGGATACAGTATGATTAGTGTGCTAAAGCGCAAAATTCTGCATCAAACTGGTAGATATACTTCTTATCTCTTATGTACATCTTTTGGAATGCTTATATTCCTCCGTCCCAAAATAAGTGTCTTAACTTTATACTAACTCTAGTACAAAGTTATATTAAGGTCAAGACACTTATTTTGGGACAGAGGGAGTACTAGACTAACATCTACAAACATTCTCTGTAAACTTAGTTTACAAGAAACCGCTAGATCCACGACCACTCACTCATGGTTCTCTTCTCTAGTTTTTGCATTATTGAAGGCCCAGAGACAATACAAGACTTCGTTCAGATGCAATCACAAGAGATTCAAGACAACATCAAGAGTCGGCGCAGCAAAATATTCCTTTTGATGGAAGAGGTGCCTGTTTTCCGCACTTGTAGTTTTTTTCTAGCTTGGTAATTAACAGCTTACTTAGCTTACCTCAATATGAGTAATGTTCTCAGGTCAGACGACTGCGGGTGCAGCAGCGAATCAGAGCTGCTGAAAGCAGATGTTCCAGCAGTGAAGAAAATGAGATGCCGGAGATGCCATCTACCATTCCGTTTTTGCCTTATACGGTGACTGACCCCCGACCCTGAATTATTTTATGTGCAAATGGCCTTTTGAGTTCTTCTTGGTAATATTCATTTCTTTTGTTTTGTATGAAGTAGTCACCAAAGACAATGAAGCAACTCTACTTGACATCATTCTCTTTCATATCTGGGATAATCATTTTTGGTGGCTTAATAGCCCCAATAGTAAGTGCCAGCTTCATCTCTCTGTAAATTTGTTGTTACTTGTCCTCTTAAAACCAGAGACTGTGTTGGTAATTTGAAATAATAACTCTTCTTAAAAAATGATTATTTGGTGCAGCTTGAACTGAAATTAGGGCTTGGTGGTACCTCTTATGAAGATTTTATACGGAACATGTATTTACCTCTTCAGTTAAGGTGATTTAAAGAAACTTGTCCTCTTACAGGATTATCCAGCGATGTTTATAGAATAATAATTTGATACTTCTTCTTGGCTGTCCATCAGTCAGGTAGATCCCATAGTGGCGTCCTTTTCAGGTGGTGCAGTTGGTGTAATTTCAGCCTTAATGTTGGTTGAAGTGAAAAATGTGAGGCAGCAAGAAAAGAACAGATGCACATATTGCCATGGGACAGGTATGAGTATATTCCTTTTCAACTATCTGGCACATAAGCAAAGACCCTGCTTTTTGTACTCTACTTCATTTGCCTATCTAAACTTGATTCCGTACCACAGGATACCTGCCATGTGCCCGTTGCTCTGCCAGCAAAATGTTGTTGGGCACCAAACGCTTTTCACTTTCTACAACTGAACGCTGTTCCAATTGTTCAGGAGCTGGGAAGGTATGGTGTCTAATCTATGTTTATTTTCACAATACTCGATTTGATGCTTTCTGGAAGATTCAGCAGAAAAACAACCAAATGGTCTATCATACTTGAGCACACAGTCTATCTTAATTCATGCCTGTCGGTGATTTCCAGGTGATGTGCCCAACATGCTTGTGCACGGGAATGGCAATGGCAAGTGAGCATGACCCACGTATAGATCCCTTTGACTAATGTTGGGCAATTTGACGTGTGCCTGCTTAATGCTATTTCCTTTTTCTATCTAGCTGTTGTTTTCTATGGCTGTGGTAGGGCTTGAATCAGTCTTCGATGTATGCTACGAGTTATAGCGAGATGAAGTTCGCAGTAATGATGATCAGATCAAATACTGAAGTTGCTTTGTTGTTCTTTGCTGTATACTAAGAGTTATAGCGAGATGAACCTCGCAGTAGTGACGATCAGATCAAATACCGAAAAATTGCTCTCTTTTTTCTTTGATAAAGGACATCTTTATTCGATGGATATGTCGAGTTGAACCCGGCCCGCATAACACAGACAAACATCCGACACGTCCAACACAACAAAAAATAAAGCATGGTTTTATGGCAAAATAGAAAGAAAAAAACGTCCAACTTAAGATGAGTAGATCCTATCAAAGATTAATATCTTTCGATGAGATGGTAACTATCAATTTTGGAGTAGACTTTGACTATCTGACTACAACGTGTCTTAGCAATCATTAAGCCAACTCTAAGAAGTTATTGATCGTGTCCCCTTTGTAATTTGTGTCAAATTTTGATAAAATATTTAACTAACAATACGTTAATACATGCCAACAAAAATTATATCGTTGGATTCATATTTAAACATAGTTTTCAGTAATATAATTTTATATGACATGCATGAATATTTTGTAAGTTAAACTTATGGTCAAAATTTGGCATAAAATACAATGAGGACCAATAAATCAAGACAAAGGTAGTAACTAACAAAACCCAAAGAAAATGCTACGAGATTGATCTACTTCTATAAGACTGAGAGATGGCGACCAATGGGGTGGACGCACGTCCCAAGGCAGCAAAACTCAACCCTAGGTCGTATAGGTGACACTTAACTTATTAACCAAGATTTTTTTACTCGGATTCTGCAATAGCACCGAACCATTTTGGTAGTAGCGGTTTGCTTAAGACGAATATGAAGATGAATCTAATTGGGTTGAAAGGTTCACGAGATTCATTTGATCTGAACAAATATCCAAATTGGGTGAAAATTATAAATGTTTGAGGTCAGGTATGTTTGTGTAGTTAGAATCTGAGTCCATGTCTAGACGGACTTGGTCTCTAAGTTCTGTTGGGCCAAAGGTCATGTGGAGACCTTGCACATCACATAATCATGTCCCTTTGTTTTTCTATCATTTCTTAACCAAATGTACAGTAAGTAATGTAGTCATGGATGTATCCATGGTAGTGATGTCCTCATCATCCGAGAAGGACAAGGCAGTAGTTTGGATGGAGAAGGACAGCAAGGCAATAACACCCTTGAGTACTTCCCAGAGAAGAATATTATTAACACGATTTTGGTTGCACCAACCACGGTAGTATCCACAGAAATCAAGGCAGAGGAAATTGCAACATTGAGTGGGTTGAATGTGCAACTCAAGAAGGCACGGGATGACACTTGTATGGAAGTTGACAAAGGTCAATGTTGGACTTTATTTCAAACTCAGTTTCATACAAAGGGCAGAACATGCAAGTTGATGATTGATGGTGGTAGGTGTGCTATTTTTTTTTCAAAAAGAGGCACTATATTACTTAAAAGGTTTAAGCGTTACACCCGACCTCTGCATAACTAAGATGTACACAGCCAAACAAGGTCCTTTTATAGAAACGAAAAATAAGAAAGGCGAAATAAAAAGAGACATGTAGAGTCCGTATAACGCCTAAAGCAGGGGGGGGGGGGCAATCCGAAGATCATACTACCACCCATGTTGGGTAAAAGTATCCCTCGCCATATCCTCCAATCGTGTACGCACCTCCGTAAATAGGTCTCGATTCTCCACACATTGTAGAGAGGACCATAAACAAAGAGTCCCGATACATCTTGTCGGCGTTCTGGGAATGGGGGCCCCAGACTTGCCTGCCTGCGGTCCGCGGCGTGGCTGAGCCAGCAGGCCGTACAACCCATCCTCGCCAGCAAAGCATCCAAGACCCTTGCGAGGGTACAAGCCTCGCGAGGGGGACGACACAAGACCTCCTCGGGAGTAGCCTAGCTAGGCAGGCTCACGAGGAGCGGAGATATCAAGGCGGAGCAAACCTCACGAGACCCTCGTGATGTGAGCCATGACGCACGACACCAGGCGGGCGCTAGCGCGCGCAGCGTCCTTGTTTCCTCTTTGGTTCTAAGGAGGCCAGCGCAGGTGAAGAGTACCGAGGCATCAGGCAAAGGTTGCTATATTTGTGCAACGAGACCAAGACCAGGAGGACGGCAAGATGGAGGTCATCGTGGAGCCCAAGACGGCGTCACCACCAGAGCCTTTGGCAGACGAAGACCACTTTTGTCAGGATAGCTTGTACTAACTGTCCCCCTTTGAATTAGCCCTCCATTGTTGGCTCCCTTCCCGCTCGATATTTGGGAAGAGGACTAGGGCCTATATAAGTAGAGCTAGCCACCATAGTAGTGTTGGAAATATGCCCTAGAGGCAATAATAAAAGTATTATTATATTTCAATGTTCATGATAAATGTCTTTTATTCATGCTATAACTGTATTATCCGGAAATCGTAATACACGTGTGAATACTTAGACCACAATATGTCCCTGGTGAGCCTCTAGTTGACTAGCTCGTTGTGATCAACAGATAGTCATGGTTTCCTGACTATGGACATTGGATGTCGTTGATAACGGGATCACATCATTAGGAGAATGATGTGATGGACAAGACCCAATCCTAAGCATAGCATAAAAGATCGTGTAGTTCGTTTTGCTAGAGCTTTGCCAATGTCAAGTATCTCTTCCTTCGACCATAAGATCGTGTAACTCCCGGATATCGTAAGAGTGCCTTGGGTGTATCAAACGTCACAACGTAACTGGGTGACTATAAAGGTGCATTACAGGTATCTCCGAAAGTATCTGTTGGGTTGACACGGATCGAGATTGGGATTTGTCACTCCGTATGACGGAGAGGTATCTCTGGGCCCACTCGGTAATGCATCATCATAATGAGCTCAATGTGACCAAGGTGTTGGACACGGGATCATGCATTACGGTACGAGTAAAGTGACTTGCCGGTAACGAGACTGAACAAGGTATTGGGATACCGACGATCGAGTCTCGGGCAAGTAACGTACCGATTGACAAAGGGAATTGCGTACAGGGTTTGATCGAATCCTCGACATCGTGGTTCATCCGATGACAACATCGAGGAGCATGTGGGAGCCATCATGGGTATCCAGATCCCGCTGTTGGTTATTGACCTAAGAGC